ACCACTACCACTACCTACACTACCTACTACCCCACCTACTACCAGTACCTACTACCAGTACCTACATTACCTACTACCACTACCACTACCTACACCACCTACTACCAGTACCTACTACCAGTACGTACTACCACACCTACTACCACTACTACCGCTACTACCACTACTATGGTTACTGAATGCTTGCTCCTCTCCGGGATCTGCACACTCCATCCTCACAACACCCACCTGGTGAGATCAGGTTCAGTGGGGTGAGTGGGCTGCCGCCCACAAGCTGGTTCCCTACACAGCCCTGCCGAGAGGAGCGGAGACACAGTACTAGCCCCAGGGAGGGACCCGCAGCATAAGGTGAGCTCTGCGAACAGAGGGGACTGGGCTGGATCCCTGCCTCTGTCACTCACCAGCAGCACGACGCTGGGCAAGACTCATAAAAGGCTTTCCCTCCCTCAGACCAGTCCCTAAGAAGGAAGTCACTCCTTCCAGCCCATCAGAGCTGCAGAGACAGTCATCCTTCTATATGTCCTGGTCACAGCAGAGACGTGAACCTCATGTATTCTGGCCACAGAAGCGACACTTACCTCATGGCTACATTGCTCCCATCGATGACCACTGGTCTCAGGTCACTGCCCTCCTTGTCCTCCTCTGGGAGTGGAGGCTCCAGGTTGGGAGCCTTAGGGGTGCCCCCACCCCGCGGGACTAGAGGGGGCTGAGGGCAAGAATCTGGTGACACCTGGCGCTCCCGCTCGGTGGCCATCCCGTGTTTCACCAGCTCGCCCAGCACTGTGTTCGTGTCTGCCTGGATGCCCAGCTTCTGCAGGACGCTGTGGATCTCTGTGGATGAATATCCCAGCTTCCGGAAGAAGTCCACCTTCATCTGCAGCTCCAAGGCCGAGGCCTCCTCAGCGGCCGGCTCTTGAGCCGGCCTGGGGGTGTCCTGACGGCTGTGGCTGTCCTCAAAGTCCCACAGACTCATGGCGGGGCTGGCTTCCGACACAGGCCTCTCTCCACAGGGGCCACTCATACCTCAGACTCCTGGAAGGCACTTGCCACAGCTCCTACTGAACAACCAAGAGGGTTAGGGATGGGGAACAGCGCTCTCTCCCACCCTCCCTCCCATCACCACACCCAGCAGGAGGAGGGATTGGTGGCACTACACACTACATCGTGTGATTATCTCAGGTTGTCCTCTCAAAAGCCCTCCCAGCTAGGCATTCCCACTCGCCTTCTATGAAGGGAGAAACTGAGGCAGACATTAAAAACGTGCTTAAGGTCATCCAGATGTTAGCTGTTGGCCTGAGGATCGGAACTTAGTCTGATTCCACCTCCCACTCTCACCCCCACGCCAACCCAGGGGACCCAGAAGGCAGGGACGGGGCTCTCAGATGGAATCCTGGGGCTTCCCCACTGAGGCCATCTCTTTCGCCCACCCGTCAGGCACTCGGAGCCTAGATCCAGGCAGCGTAGGCCCGTGGCCGGACTGCCGGGGCCGGGGAGGGCAAGTTTCCGGGGTGACCCGCGGGGAGAAAAGTTGCTGGGAAACTCTGGTTGGCTGCCGGGAGCTGGTGACGCCGAGGCTGTCCCAGCCTGAGACCCGCGCTTGCTCGGCCCCCGATCCGGACCCGGGTGCTCTTCCCCGGCCCTCTCAACTTGGGCTAAGTTGGAGGGATCCTGAGGCCCGGCGGGCCGCGGGAACAGGACCCCGCCCCTCCCCTCCCCTCGGCTCGGTCCCCGAAGGAGCGCTCTCCGCCGCGGCCCGCGCCCTCCCCGCCTCGCCTCACCTCGCCGAGCGCCACCCGCGGTCAGCGGCGTCTCCATGGGGCCAAGTACCGGGGGCAAGGCCAGCAGTGCCTTTATAGGGCAGGTGGTGGTGAGGCGCTGACGCGGAAGCGGGTAGGGGGCGGGGCCGCCCCTAGAGACCGCCCCGGGGCGGAGCTTCCGCGCCCCTTCCTGCTCCGCCCCCCGCGCCCCGGCCCCGCCCCCGCCCTGCCCCCGGGGCCGCTGTGCGCCGGGCGGGGCCCGCGACGGGGTGGGATCAGGGGCCTGGGGACACCGCCTCAAGGCCGGGGCAGCGACGAACTCCGAGCGGGACACTGAACGGCTCGTACGCGCAAGATAAGCACGGACCGAACCAGGTACACGCACCTGTCGGGGACTCACTGACTGAGGTGCGGACGGCACTTTACCAGGACAGGTAAAGACGCGAACCCTCGGACCTAAGAACTTGACAGGTACACCCTGCCTGATAAAGCTACGCCAGGTGCGCTATCGAGTGAGTCGGGTACACAGAGGTTGGTCCACGCACCTTGGAGGCAGAGCCATAGTTATAAAGACAGGTACATCCAGACAGGCACTTTTCAAGTGGAGTCAGGGCCCCTCAAGACACACTGTGCTCGAAGCTGTCACACAGAGGTGGGCCACCCACAGGGCCAGGTACACCTTTCATGAAATCTCTACCTTACCAGGACCGAAAGGCAGATTCAGCCAGCAGATGCACAATGGCCAAGGCAGAAAACCAGGCAAAAGAGGGCCATTTATCCCATTTACCCGAATCACCACGTGAGTGTCCACACAGGAATACTGTCACCAACACCGCAGAACTCACTGATTACCCCCGCTGGAGGAGCACCCCTGCTCCATGAAGATGCTTTTAGTTTCCCAGGTCAGGCCTGATCCCTCGCATGAGCACTTTACAGTATCTACTCATGAGCTTACAGACAGGTCATTTTGTTGATGTTACCCTTGAGAAATTCTGCAAGGCTAAACTGCCCCAGCTGGAAAGACTTGAACCAGGATGCAGAACTCCTATTCTAGTGCTCCTATTATTTGCCATTTTGTGAACCACGGGTGAATAAGGTCAGAGGGGAGCCTGGCTTCCAGTGTGTGTGTGTGTGTGTGTGTGTGTGTGTGTGTGTGTGAGAGAGAGAGAGAGAGAGAGAGAGAACACAGAACCCACATGCTGGAGGACAGGGCCGCATGCCACCAGAGCTTTTTTTCCTGTCTTACATTCTCTCTACCTCATCATAGGCATGTGTCCTATAAGTGCTAGTGTTATAATAATTTTTTTATTGTAAAAGACGCCATAGACACAACTATACATGCACACCTTAAAGAATAATAGTAATAATAAAAAGGCTATGTATCCATTACCTAACTTAAAGACCAGTACCAGTACCTTGAGGCCCTCTGGGTGCCCCCATCACAGCCTCCTCCCCACATCCTGAAGAACTGGTTTCCTGAATTTTGATCGTACTAGTCATTCTCTTGCTTTTCTTTGTAGTTTTTTTTTTTTTTTTTTTTGAGAACGGAATCTTGCTCTGTCGCCAGGCTGGAGTGCAGTGGTGCAATCTCAGCTCACTGCAGTCTTGACTTCCTGGGTTCAAGAGGTTCTCCTGCCTCAGCCTCCCAAGTAGCTGGGATTACAGGCACACGCCACCACACCCAGCTAATATTTGTATTTTTAGTAGCGATGGGGTTTCACCATGTTGGCCAGGATGGTCTTGAACTCATGACCTTGTGATCCACCCGAATTGGCCTCCCAAAGTGCTGGAATTATAGGCATAAGCCACCGAACCTGGCCCCTTTCTTATAGTTTTATCACTTTTGTATGCATCCCTAAATAGGATATTGTGTAGTTTTGCTATTTTTCACTTTGTGTAAACGGAATCATTCCATAATTATGTGACTCTTCTTTCATACCACATTATATTTTTAAAAATCCATTTTGATTGCCTGCATACCTGTAATTTATTTTACAGCTGAAAAGTGTCCCATTTTATGAATATACCCCAGGTTACTTAACTCATTTCACCTGTTGTTGGATGTTGTTTCTAGGACTATTTTTCTATTACAAAGACTGTGCTTTGGATATTCTTGTATGTATTTTAATGAAATTGTACAGCAGAGGAAATGGATGTTCAGATTCCGAAAGATGAAGTCACTTGCTCAGGTTCCGGGGACTGCTGGAGCTAGAACTCACGTAGCTCTCTCCAAGGCTGTGTGCCAGTCCTTTCTTACATTCCCTCTACCACATCATAGGCATGTGTCCTGTGAAAGGGCCAAATCCCTCTCATGTCTGAGACTCCTGGTATATTTCAAAAAGTCCATCTCCCCATCCACACCTGCTTGTTTGGCAAACCACCAAAGACCCCAGTGAGGCCGGTGAATGCGTTTTTAGCTGGGCCCTTAGGCTGTTCCTTTGGGCTTGCCCTTGCCTAGCCATGTTCCTGCTTTATTGGCTGGTCATCTTTGAAGACCCCAAAGTGTCCCCTTCTCTGTGCCCCCCAGGCACCACAGCTCCAGGAGCTTGGCAGCCTGAGGAGAGAGGAAACACAAGGTCCCCTGCCTCGTGCCAGCTCACATACCACGCCGGGCACCTCACATGCTCGCTGTCACTCCAGCTGAGTGCAGTGCTGGCTGTTCCCCTAATCCCACAACAGTCCCTTTTACAGCTGAGAAGAGCTCAGGGATGTTAAGCATTTATTCGCTGTAGTAACTACCTTTAAGACAGTAAAAATATTAAGTGATGTGTCCAGGTTAATAGTGCTAATGACGGTATTAATCGAGCACAGAGATAACGCCTCCAATTTATAGAGTGCTCACTGGGTGTAGGCACCGCCAGCACCTTGCAGACACTTCCGTACTTCTGCTCTGCTTCTTCCTGTGCTCAGAGTGCTTCCCTCCCTCCCACCCAGCTGCTTCCTGGCCAGTTCCATTCATCTTTTGGATGATGTCACCTCCTCTGTGAAGCCGGCCAAGACTCCTTTGATGCTGGATTATACCCTTCTAAGTGCCTCCGCAGCACCTTGCCTATGTCCCAACATGCTAGATTGTCTTTGCCAGCCTAGGACCTCCTCCGGGACTGCAACCAGACCCTCTGCTACCCAGCCCTGTGCCGATAAGAGTCAGCAGGACCAGGCGATGAGTCATGAAGCTCCCTGCCCTCCCAGAGAGCCGCAGTCTTGCTCTTTTCCGGCTCTTGCTCCTTCCCAAGAAGCTGACTCTCTTCTACGGAACCCAGGGCTTCTTCGGGGAACCCCTGCTCCATTTACAGCTGGATTTTGCAAACTTCGGCCCTAATCCCCAGCAACTCTCTGATGCCAGGCCCACACATCCCCCTCTGCCTCTCCCACGCCTGTCTTGGCGGCTGGGCTGGCCAGTTTCCTTCCTGGAGCCTGCCTGGTCTTTCACCATCTATCTGCCTGTGCCCAGCCAGCCTAGGTGAGGTCTAAAAAGCTTATGGACTAGTCACAGCCTGAGGGGTGTGGGGGGTTGGGATGTGAGGTTGGAGAGGGAAAGGTCCCATGACCTTGGCTTTCAGTTGCTTCACTGGGCAGCTGAGCCTGGGGGTGACCTGGGAACTGGGCTGCCTCTGTAGGAAGGCTGGGCAGGCTGCCCCCAAGCCTTAGCAGAGTGGCTGCAGAGGTGATGTTTAAATTCAACAGGGCCTCCCTGAAGTGAAGAAAGGCCCAGATCCCTCCCATATTTGAGACTCCTGGTATATTTCTTTTTCTTTTCTTTTCTTTTCTTTCTTTTTTTTTTTTTTTTTTTTTTTTTTTTTTTTTTTTTTTCAGACTGGAGTGCAGTGATGTGATCTCAACTC